GATTTCCTTTGCAGCATGTTATGGTTTAATTTCAATGGTCATAATAGTGATGATTTTGGGTGTTGATAGATTCAGTGATTGTTTGAGTGGTCTGTTGGAGCCTGCTTGGATAAAAGGTGTGATGGGAAAACAGAGTTCTCTTCTTTTGTCATATTTGTTTGTGATGCATTGTCCGGTTTCCTCATTTGTGATGGTTATCGTAGTGTTTAGGAAGTTTGCATGTGTTTCGGTGATTTTGTCATCAGATTGTGTTTTCTGTGTGGTCTGTTCGTTTAAGGTTATTAGGTGTAGTGGGTATAAAAAATACTGGCTGCGTGGGATGGTCACTTCTGGATTTAAAAATTCGTTAATCCTGGGATTCTTAAGTATGTGGAAGTCATCAAAGAAGCAAAAAACATGTTAAAACAGGTGTAGCAGATGTCTGTTGCTTTTGTGTGTCATTTTCTTCATAAACTTATATTCATATTTGAAGAAGTATAGATTACACCACACAGGTGAACAACTAACTCCCATAGGGATGCCAAGTACTTGCCTCCAGATGTTGTTGCCTAGGGATGTATAAACATTCTTAATCAGTTAGTTGTTAATTTCCTGCACAATGCTGTCGTTGATGGTAAGGTATCCGTTTGGTGGGTTTGTATACCAGTCGCAGAGAGTTGTCCAGGCTTCTTTGCTTTTGTACATTCTGCAGGTCGGCTGTACATTTCTTCCATATGTTTTTGTTGCTTGTTTGTAGGTAAGATTACAGAAGAATTTGATTGGAGATGGTAGGTCGTCCTGGCTGTCGTCAATGGGTATTGTTTTGTAGCATCGGGTTATGTCTGCTGAAAAGACGGAGAATATTTATTGTGGGAGGTTGTACGTATAATATAGGGTCGAGTCTATCGGCCATTAAAAAGGGACTTTAAGTCCTATTTCTGCGAGTGTACGTTGTGTTAGTACTCCACAGTGCGTCTTCGCCATTCGTATTAAGACAGCAAGCACGACGACTGAAAGATCGGCCAAAGGTGTGGAAATGTCGTCTGCTGCGCTAGTTAGCCAGCGAAAAGAGTTCTTGTGTTTTTTATATGTAGCAAATAGATAGGGTATTTCCATTTTTCCAATAGGTATGTCTGGGAATTTTATTTCTAGCCGTTGCTTCATGATGTCTAGTAGTTGAGTGACGGATATTGCAATTTTTTCAAAATCTGGGCTGGTAAGCCTATGGAGTGCAAGGTATCTAATAAGGTTAATGCAAGTAAATACCGGGGTGTTTGGGGTTTTATCAGCCCCAGATCTGTAGAAGTGTTTAGTTAAGAAGTTGACTTCATGTTTGATAGCGTGATTGCTTAGGTCTATTGCCTTGTGTGTGGTAGATTCCTTTTAATTAATTTGTCAAAGTTCGCTTTTGCTTGTTCTTCTTGTGAACTTCTAAGTGGTGTATTGTTTTTTTGGAGGTATAGGGTGACCAGTGCCCAAATATGGTTTGTAGCGGTTAGTACGCCATCTGTATCTAGTCGAGCAGGTGGAATATGGTTCAGTCCTCTTTTAATTATGTCTCGTAGTTCAACATTGTTGGTAATATCAAGATTCAGCGTACAACGGAAAAATTTCCCAGAATTAAATAATCATTCTATAGTAAAATTACAATCTAAATTTCAAATTTTCATTCCATCTTAAAAAATGTCATTCCAATTTTAAAATTTTTCATCTTACTTGCAAACTTTCATTCCAAGAATAGGGTATCCCTTCTTATTTGGACTGTATGCTAGAGATGGAATGAAAGTCTGGATGAGTTCATGAAATATTTTAATTGGAATGTTATTATAAGTAAGGATTTTCAGTCATAAATATGTTAATCCAATCTAAATTAGAAGATATTTTTTGTAGTAGAATGAAAATTTAATTAAAATATTTCATAAACTCGTCCAGACTTTCATTCCATCTTGAACAAATAGATGTAGTTGGAAGGGAAAACTCATATTTAGATGGGAAATTATCAAATAAAACTGAAAATTTTAGAATTAGACGAACATTGGAATGATAATTTATAAATATGAAGGATTTTTTTTTTATGGAATATTTTTTGAACTTTCATTTCTCGGGGGAATTTTTCTGTTGTAGTGACGTGCAGTAGTTCTTCTCCGGGAAGCATGCCTGCTGGAAGATCGTTTGCGAATTCTCTATATCTGAGTTGCTGGAAGAAATATTTTTCCAAGATCTGTTCTATCCAGGTTGTCAGATCGAAGTCCCGGAAAGCAACTGCTGGTTTGTATAACGTCTTGGCTATATGATCATTGTATGTCCATGTGAAGGTAAATTTCTCTAGGACCTGAGCGGCTTCTGGGCTGTATTTTGGAAGAATGTTTTCAAGGATGCTTTTAATTTTAATTATGTCCATCAGTCGGTTTCCATAGTGGCAGAAAATGACATATTTGTCTGATTCTTTTCTTGATCTCCATCCAAGCCTTCCGTCCTCTATTGTTTGAAGTCGTTGTTCCTGCACATTTGACAGACATATTGGCAATCTGAGTCATGTTTTTTTGCAAGCAATCCGGGTTGTGAGTCGTGATATTTGTATATTAAATGGTTGTGCTAGTAGGCGGGTGTGGTGGGGTATGAAAGAGTTGTTTGCTTACTTTTAAAATAGTCAGCTACGACAAACAGGGTAGGGGTAAGGGAGCATCTGTGCATTGTTCTTTTTCTTTTTTTGTCCACTATAATTTTGCAGAATCAGAAATTGTCGGGTGAGTTATTATTTCTTTTGGGGGGCTATTTTCTGAATTTTAGGACACATGCTTAGCGTTATTTAACCGAAGGTGTGTTGTGAGGTCAGTTTGCAGGTTTCTACTTCAGGAGTCAGGAGTGGATGTAGAAGGAATTTTTCAGAAGGCAATTTCCAGGTTACGTAGTACCATTCTTCAGAATTCTTACCATTTTGTGCCTAGGGGAGAAAGTAGAGTATTTCTCCTTTGGTTAGAACAGTAGGTGCGATACAAGGGGCAATCTTAATCAGATTGTTTGAATGCAAGGTGGGATGGGAATGTTGGTAGGAAAGGAGCGTATGTGAGCAGCAGGGATTACAGTTATTCAAGGAAGATAGAGAGTGTGCTTCTTGTGTAAAAAGAATTAAAACAATACGGTCGAAGTTCGTCATAATTCCATTCGAAGTTATCCCGGCAGCATCAACCGGTTTTGCTTTCCATTCTTATTCTACTGTCCGAAATCGTGTGCCAACATTATAAGGTTTAGCTTGATAAGACATCCCAAACTCCCTCAGGACCACTTCTTTTTAGCAAAACAACAATGGGTATGTAGGCAAGCCTTGCTTGGCTACAGTATCCATGTGTCAGCCTCCTGCCCGGAATGGGCATCCCAAACTGCCCTAGGACCACTTCTTTATAAGTTGTAGTACCTGTGCTACAGCTACACCTCCTGCCCGGAATCTACCTAATTGTCTTTCCTGGACTAGTTTCTAACAATGCTAGCTGTGTTGAAATGGTAATCCGGGCTAAGCCTTCTGCATACGCGTTTCCACGATTCCTCATAAGATTGTGAGTCGATTGCAAGGGCCGCGTTGTCACTATTCGTCCGGAGCAGGGAGGAGTCTGAACAATTGGCACCGTAATTCATCCTTAGTGCATCAATGACGGAAATCGGGCGCATCGGGGTGTCTGGTGATGGTGAGTTGATAGTGATGGGGAACTGACTTCCCTCCCCTTCGTTGATGTCGCTGTTGCTGACTTGGATTACTTCTCGTTCTTCAGGGATGCCCTGTCTGGCGGTGGGTAGTTCTGTAGTAGCTCCGTTGTGTGCCCAAAGCCTTAGGACATGCTCCGTTCGTGGTGCCCATTCGCTTGGTTGTACTGGTCCGTTTGCCGCTGCTTCGACGTTCGTCGTGCCAGACTGTCCCTGTGACTGTGCTTGTTGTTGTGATGCTGCAGTCAGTTGTCGTAGCTGTTGGGCCAACAGGATGTCGTGAATGTCAGCCTGCCGTTGATCATTCGGTGTTGCCTTCCTCCTTGTCTGCCTCCCGGTTTGCACCCCTTGTTGCATCGGCTTGATTCTGCGCGTTTTATTGCCTCTTCTAGTCTTGGCTCTGGTTGGTTCAGGCAGCGGATTCATGGCGATGCTGAGCAATTTCTCTCGCCTTCATGCCAGTCTTTCTGCTTCAGTGCTGGCCTGGTTTTGTGTTGCTGTAAGGAAGGTTGTGCCGTGGTTCGCGGTCGTTGGTAATGCGGTTGTGAAGCATTGGTTTGTGTTGGCGCTGATGCGTGTGGTGTGCGGTGTGGGCAGATAGCTTGCAACAGGCCATTGTTGATGCTGAACGGATTGTGTTGTCGTGCTGCTAGCTGCGCAATAAGATTGGCGAAGGCATTGCCTGTCAGTTGGGCAGTTCTAAAGCCATGGATTGCTGTTCTGTTGGCAACGTTGGTGCGCTGTTCATCGGAGTAGGTACTTGGTCCAGGTGCAATATTGAGGTTTAGGTTTGGTGTAGTGCTTGCGTTAATGGCATGTGATGTGTGGGTGTTAGGATCTGTTTGGGTGTTTAAGTTTGAGCATTGTGCATCAGGAGCAGTCGGGGGTTGGACAGGCCTGTTAAGGTCGTGATGTTGCTCACTGGGTGTTGTGGTTGTGCCTCTAGTGGGAGCGGCAGGGATGTTAGTGCGAGCTGTTCGTGTTGGTGGGTTGCTGACTGACTGTGGAAAGGTGGTAGTGGTATTGCTGGGGCCTGTGTGTGTGCTGTTAGTGTGTGTTGGCTGTAGTGGCGTGGTGGTGGGAGTTCCTATTGGTGTAATGAGTGTTGCAGATGGTGATGGCGTGTTGCTGGGCCTTAAACCAGTGGGCGTTGTGGCTGTGTTTATGGTGGCTGTGGTCGCGGTAGGTGAGAGAGCAGCTCGTGCTGGTGGATTGTTGACTGTTCGTGCAATGGTGGGGGTGGCGTTGCTGGGACATGTGTGCGTGCTGTCATAGTGCGTTTGCTGTAGTGGCGTGGTAGAGGGTGTTCGGGTTAAGGTGGTGAGTGTCACAGTTGAAGACGGTGTGCTGTCGATCCTCATCAGTCAGCATCTTCTCAGTTAGTTGTCTTCGATGTCTGGTTGACTTCGTCTGCTGGCTGACTGTGCAAGGAGACCTTCAGCGTTCGGTAGGAGCTCGGCGGTGAACTTGTGTCCAAATGGTACGTTCTTGAAGTCTTCGTAGTTGAGGATCTCCTTGGCTGAAATGACTCTGTTTTCGGTGAGTAGGTGGACAATCTTGATCATGTACTCCCTCATGAAGATGAAGGAGATTTGCGCCATGATTGGTTTACTCCATGTTGTATGGAGGAGAGCTTGGAATTCCAGCATCCTGATTTTGTCGATAGGCGCGTGCGGATCGATCTTGTCCAGGTTGCCAAGGACATACCATATCGTATGGTCAAACCAGGTGAGATTCTTTTCGCATCTGGGGCATGTGCATTTCAGGTAGGGTCTTCCAGCATCCCAGAGCTTCTTGAGTTCGGACAGGTCTGCTGGGAACTTCGGGATGCCCTTCTGGTGCAGCAGAGGTCTCTTCAGACATTTTCCTTTCTCGAGTTTGGCGATTGGAGGGAAGTTTGCGTCTAAACCTCCTCTTGTAGCCGGGAAGTAGATCGTACCGTTCCTTGCTGCAGCTCGACAGTTATCTATGTCTGGGTCAGTGAGCCCGACAAACTCCATGTATGCCTCTACGATAATCGTTGCAGTATAGTTGAAAGTGTCGAGCTTCCACAGGCGATTGTTGACACATTGTACTGCTTTCTCTCTCCAAGTGCTAGATGCCAGTGGTAGGAAAGGGTTGTTCTTGGCAAACTTGTGTCCAGCATCCCTGGTGAGTGGAGTGATTTCGGTGTGCGCATTTTTCCTCCGTTCTGCTTCCTTCTTCTTGAGGTACTTTAGCTCGGCCTGTGAAAGCGACATTCGGTTAATGTATGCATCCATAAATGTTTCGTTTCTTTCAGCGATGGAAACCTGTCCGGCAGAGTCAAGGTGCGCAGTATCATAGCCATGTAGATCAAGGATGATCTTCTCGGCTTTGGCAATGATGAGGTTCAACTCTCTATTCTCAATTTCTGACTTCCTGCATACCTCGGTGATATTGCTTGCAAACTCACGGATCTTGTCATCCAGTTCGTGCGGCTTGTTCTGCATGATGGCAACGAGGGAGGCCCAGTCACTGAATAATATATTCTCAATCAGGAATGGAGATTCTCCCATCGTGGCTTCATAGACTTGCAGAAGGACGTCCGCGGGTATGGCGAGCATGGCTATCTGGCAGTGTACGATTGGCGGTTGTAGTGTTGAGAAGGGCCTGATAGCAGCGGCGAGCTCCAGGTGCCAACCCATGAGGATGTTGTTTTCATCCTGCACATGTTTTGTTACGAGGCGGATGTTAGCTGTTTGATACGCAGTTATCTGAAGTGTAGACAAAAAATAGTTTTTAACTATTTTGGGGGGAATTAAGTCTGCCAGGTTGCAGAGGCAATAAGTATGGGTTTTAGAGTTGTTATATTGGTCATTATCGTGTGGTATCAAGGTGGTTCCTTTATACTTTGCGGGGTCAGAGGGGACTTTCATTTATAGGGTTACCGGCGTTCGCCCGAACGTATGGGACCCCTTCGGGAGGCGTTTGGCCGTTCAAGCCGAACGCGGACCAAAAAAAAAAAAAAAAAAAAAAAACACGTTTTCAAAAACTTTCGAAAACTAACTATGTTATGGAGACAAATAAACTAAATAACATTTGCCCGAGCACCTTATCCAAATTCTTTACCAAATTTGAATAAACAATTTAATACAAAAAATAAACACTATGATAAAAATAAAAAAAAATAAAAAGAGAATGAAAATGAGTGAATGTGCCAGCACCTTTTCGACACCGCCATCTTTGCCGAGTTTTAATTATTTTTTGGCATTGACAAATGCCCTAAAAATTTACAGATATGTAGTTTACATAATCAATAACTCATTAAAAAAAAATTCAAAAAATAATAAAATTTTTTAGGCCCCGAAATAAAGTGAAAACAAAAAGTTAAAAGTGAAAAAAAACAAAATAGTGAGTGGGCGAGCACGTTTTGACACCCCCATCTTTGACGATTTTTAATGTTTTTTTGGCTTAACAGAATGGCTTCAAAATTTATAGGCGTGTAGGTTACATCATAGAGACCTTAGAAAAAACAAATTTAGAAAAAAAAACTTATTTGTAGGTCCCGAAGTAATTTTTGGCGGGGGCCAAACCTGGAGGTGTTCGGCCCCCGAACGTTTGGGGGCCAGCTCAAGGGCCCCCGAATGTTCGGTCAGGTGACCCTGTATTGGATTTTTAATTCTTTTTTTTTTTTTTCTTTTTTTTATCATAGTGTTTATTTTCTGTATTGGATTTTTAATTCAAATTTGGTAAAGAATTTGGATGTAGTGCCCGGGTAAATGTTGTTTAGTTTATGTTTCTCTATAAATTTTTTTATTTTTTTTATTTTTATTTTTTTTTGGTCCGCGTTCAGCCCGAACGGCCGAACGCCTCCCAAAGGGGTCCCGTACGTTCGGGCGTTCGGGTTCTGGCGTTCGGCCCGTCCCGAACACCAGTAACCCTGAATATATATATATAGATATAGATATATATATTTTTTATTTTTTTTTATTTTTAATTTTCAATTACGTGATTTAGCATAATTATTTTGTATCGAAGCTGTGATCTAGTATATTTGTGGGTTGTTAGTCGGGTTTGGTGAGCGTGTCCACAAGTGTTTTTTATAATTGATTTTATTATTATTATTTTTGCAACCATAAAAAAAAAAAAAATCATGTATTTTAAGTTTCTAGATTTACCTATTTATTTTCGCTCCTTCAAGAATTTGTGTGGTGTTTTACATCGTCTTATCAGTCCATATAAATATAGTGTTACCAGCGGTGCACTTATCAGTTCGGATATACAAGTGGGGCCCGCAGTTTGTGCGGGTGTTCGTAAACTATATCCAGTTTTCCTTGCGTTTTCACTTTGGGTTTAGTGCGTTATATGTTTTGGTTTTGCTGGGTCATTTTCGCCCTGTGGACACGGTTCGTTATCTAGGAAGGATTGGTGGAGTTTTGCGTTTTGTTTATCGAAATTGTTGGCCAAAAGTGGGTTCCAACATACGTAAGATTGTTCGTGGATGTTATATAAGAGGGAGTGGGGTATTGTCAAGCGTGCGGGTTTTATGGGTGCTCGCATTCTGAGAGGCGCAGCGTTGTGTCATTATCCGCAGATTACGTCGGTATCTATCGGAACAAGCAGCTGGCAGGAAGGGTACTTGCTTGCGCGAACAATAGAGTTTGAATGCAAGTGTGGTGTGTGTTATGAACAGTGCGAGTACCGACGTCATCATTTGGGGGGGAAAAAAAGGGGGCGGATTACCATTGTGCTTCTTCTTGGAACATTTTCAGACGTTAGTAGAGAGCAAGGAGCGTAAGGGATGGAGTTCTTAGTAGTGTATCATGGCGTCGTGAGTAGTGATAGGATCCTGATTTTGGAGCGAACACATCTTCGAGATGTTCCCATTAACATGGAGCCATGGGAATCATCACCGGAGGGTCGTAGTATGACACGGTCGTATGATGTTAATGTGAATGGGCAGATGGTTATTTGTGTAGGGGTTGGTTTTTCTTACCTTCAGCTGTCTTTAGTCTCTCTTCGTTTCTATTTGCGTCGCTTTGGTGAAGTGATTCCTGTTGGGATTCCTGAGGGTGACACGGATCTACTATTCTGCATCCTCAAAGATTTGGTGACTACGATTGCGGCTGAACATCAGGGTTACATTGTTCCAACGGCAGGTTGGGGTGTGGCCGTTGGCGATCCTCTTGCACGACAGGAGTTGTGGGGGGAGATTAAAGAGTATGAGGGTTATCAGTAAGCAAGCCTAAATGGTTGCTTGTGTGTGTTTGCAATGTTTTTCATCGTGTTGAAAGTTCACGACACAGGCGTTCTTGCGAGCGTTTTAAACATGATTTTACGAGCATGCGGGTTTCATACATGTATACGTTTGAGAGCTTGCTTAGATTTTCTTACGTGGAGCAAATTACGAGTGTTAGTGTGCAAGCGGTCTCTTGAGTGATCAAACATGGTGATGGAGGTGAGATGAGAATTTTTACGTATGGTTGTGCGTATTCTGTGGGGGAGGTAAGTTTAGTGATCGGTGAGGAGTGCAGGGGACCAATCAGGTCGGCTATGGTTTTCTTGTGAAAGGGTTGGTTATCCGAATTTCAATGTAGTGTGTGGTTGGGGGATACATATGGGAGCTTGCTCATTCGTGTTGGGGGCAATATCCCCATACTTAATGTCACCCATAGAGATCTGTTGAAAAGAAGCGCGCACTGGTTCATGTTGCTTGTTAATGATTAAGTATATAAGTATCTAGGGGAAGGGAGCGAGTAATCGCTGTACTTCGATCAACACATAGCGGGCATGTTATGATGATACGGTTCGGTCTAAGGCTGATGATGAGCCACACGTCTGATGAAATAAAGGCTTTTGAAATGATCATGGAGAAAATTTCAAGATTTGTAATACCTTTCTTATTGAATGTCACTCATCCTTATACCCGTAGGTTGATTAAAGAAAATTACGACAGACGGTGTATGCGCGTGTAGTGCTTGTGCGCACAGGATGAGGCCCTCAAGGAAACACAAATTTTCGTTATTGATACAGGCATTCTGAAAAATTCACTGCATATATTGCGCTTACTAGTATGCGAATAAAGCCAGTTCTAGAAACGTTTAATCTATCGGAAGGTCTTTTTTAGGAACCATAGGATGCAGACACGCGGTTATCTTTAACTTTTCATTTTGTATTCCGTTTACCCACCTATTTACTCAGATGGTTCCTAAGTCGGGTTAAAAACCATGGATCAAAGGGGAGGGAATACGTCACTATAGCTGATTTGAAGGCCCAATTTAGTACAAATGCTTAGTATGAGTGGATAATTCTGAGTGTGTTTTATCAGCGTATGGGTGCGGTGTGTCGTGAACCGCATGTCTTTAGCACCGGTGCGCTTTTAGATGTGAACGGTGTATGGATCGTTATGAACGTGAAGATCCTTTAGCTGATGATCTATTGTGGTTATTTCTAGGTTGTTTTATCGGACGTCCGGGACCCCCCTCGCCGTCCAAGACCCCCCTGACCGTACAGGACCCCCCTGACTTCGCGCACATGGTTTACCCAACAAAATATAAGTTTATCGGAGCAGTTAAGATTAGTGTTAGTATGTTAGCGTTGGTTAGGAGAGGGTCTGAGGAACCAACCATAGGGGGGTTGGACGCCCTGAAGCACGCTTTTCGCCGCCTAGCACCCATAGCAGCTCATAAGAGGGATTAGTCATTAGGCTCCTGTTAGCGTAGGGGGTGAGAGGGGATCGTAATCAAGGGTTTGTAAGCCACAGTAAGTAGTATGTCTACGGACCATATCTGTGAGCGGAGAGCTTGAGCAGATGATGTCTCCTCGATAGTCACCATCTTCCCTTCGAACGTTAGGCCGGTCTTAGAGCGCAACTGAGTGCAGCGCAGGCAAGAGGGGGTTAGGACAAAATTAACAAAGGCTCTGTATCTCCACGAGCATTACGACGCTCGAGTATGCTCGTCTCTCGAGCGTGGGTGGGAGGTATGCCGCAAACAGCAGTTTTGCTGCGCTATGGGAATGATAGCGGGGTAGAGCGAAGAAATGTGTTTGCAAAAAGGCAGCAGTATTGTGGCGTAGTGGGAGCGATAGAAGGGGGAGAGAGAGAGAGCGCGAGGAACTGCAGTTGCATTGCAGCGGATGTTTGCATGCAGCCATCGTCTGCTTTATAGCATGGTAGAAGGTATAGTATTTATTCATTTTTGTTGTGTGGAGCGGGTGGGTATGGTGCAACGGGGGTATGTGTGTTTGTTGTGCAAAGTGTGGTGATGGGTGGCATTTTGGGTTTCTCAGGGGCGGAAGATCTGCTTTCAGTCAGTACATCAGTGTGTACTAATTTCTCAGGCGTATTGCACGTGGGCCGGTGCTTTGCCTGTGTCGTTAGCTTTCCCAGTGTTGTGGGTCATGCACACTAGTTTGACCATTTGGGGTTATGGCGTGCATGTGCACCAACTTGTAGGTTGGGGCTTGCTTCACATGGTGTCTTTGTCGTGTGTGGGTCAGTAGTGTCATTTGGGTGTGGTGGCATCTGTGGTCTGTTCGTCTTGCTTGGTATGGGTGTCGTTTGTCTGTTGTGTTTTTATGTCGATGGCGGTTGTGGCTTCGTGTGGCGCAGTTTTATGCAAGCGGGAAATACGTTTGTAGATCAGTGTGTGTTTGTTTCCCACGCGTAACGTGTTTTGGCCAGAGTTGAACTTTCAAGTGTGCTAAAACATGTGTGCTTGTCGTTTTTGGGGTAGGACT